ATCGCACAACGTAAGGAGAACCACTGCCCCATAGCTCTGCTTTCCTCTCTGCCTTGGGAAGCAGAAGGCAGGGAACTGCTGGGCTGCCACAGCACATGGCTCTGCTTCTTCTCAGCCCTCTCTCCATCTGCTTTCCAGTCCCCTCCTTAAGTGGGCTGTGGTGGCTGGGGCCACCAAGATTGGTGAGATGGGTCCTCACGTGCAAGTGCGTCGGATCAAGAAGGTGTACATTCACGAGCTCTACGATGGCTATATGCATTATGACATCGCTGTGATAGAACTGAAGCAGCCCATGGAGTGCACCCCCTCCATTCAGCTCGCTTGTCTGCCGGGTCCCACCGTCAGGGTGTTGTCTCAAAACTGCTACATCGCTGGCTGGGGTGACACCTATGCAAAAAGTGAGTTCCCCAAAAAGGACCTGTGCCCTGAGGGCAAGCTTGGTACACTGGGCAGAGAGGGGTGGGGCTTCCTGACAGCAGAGGCCAAAACCAGGGTTGGGCTGCCAAATGTTTGCCTCTGGAGGGATGGGACAAGCCTCCTCCCCAAAGACAGACACCAGTGACACAGCACTCCAGTGCCTCTCCAGAGGCAGAGCCAAGCCCTAGGGAAGGGCTTCATCCCCAGACAGGCCAGGGCAATGGGCAAGGAGCTGCTGGGACCTCATTCCTCTCTCTGTTCACAGCTCTAGGTCCAAACCCAGTTGTCCTGAAGCAGAGCGGGGCGCTCCTCATTGATACCCGGCTTTGCAACAGCAGCGACTGGTATGGAGGGAGAATCAAAGATTACAATTTGTGTGCTGGTTACCCAGAGGGTGGCATGAGCACCTGCCAGGTGAGGAGTGTGCTCGGAGTCATTCAGCCCCCAGCAGTGTGGGCAGCACTACCCAAACACAGTTCAGTGTGTGCTTTGCCTGGCCAGCTGCCCTCTGAACCCTGAGGCCCCATCACCACTGGGGCTTCCCTCCCCCTCCCAATCCAAGGGTCCTTGTCCAATTCCCCCCTTGTCCTAGCTGCCTGGCCCTCTGCCCAGAGAGCCTGTCTAGTGCTCTTGGCAGCCTAGAGGTCCAGATGCCAATCCTGGAACATCCGTTCTCCACACCTCCAGGATCACTGAGCACAGAGGACAGAGAGCCCTACCTTACTGGCCCGTAACCCTGCTCCCAGCCATGGTTCTGGAGGCTTCAGCACCTGAGCAGAGCTTTGCTCTGCCAGGAATCCAGCTCTGCCAGGGGCTGGGAGAGCAAAGGAGCCAGCACTACGTGCTGACACTTGGGATCACTCAACACTCCCTTAATCTCTGCTTTGCTGCAGGGTGACAGCGGGGGGCCTCTCATCTGCCAAGATAGCAAAGAGGACTTCTTCTGGGAAGTTGGTCTGACCAGCTGGGCAATAGGTTGTGCCAGACCCAAAAATCCTTCAGTCTTTATCTCCACTCAGTACTTCTACAACTGGATCATGAAAAAAATAGGCCATAGCTCAGGAGCAGCACCTATTCCAGTGCCCTGTCCGTTCCCACGGAAGAAGCTGCTGCAATTCTTTGATCTGCTGAAGGAGCTCTTGAAGTTCCTAAAGGCAAAACCAGCTTGAGCAGGGGGATGGACAGGTTGCAGTGCAGGCTGTAGTGAGCCACAACCACTTCCTTCTGGGACAATGCCTCCTGATCCAAAGGCAGCCCTGGTGCCAAAGGCCTGTTCTGTCCTGCCCATGCTCCTCCTCTCTGTGCACGCAAATGCTGACGTTGACCTAATTGTTGTTGAAATAAAGTTGTCTGTTTTCACAGTTAACCACTTTTGCAATTTGTCATGTTAAAAGAAGGGGGGGCCCAAGGAGAATTTACCTAATCCCTGAAAAATATTATTTGTTATTGCCCCTGGGAGATCGAAAACCTTTAACATCTGATTAGTCTGTCAGCTTCCCTAATTAGAAAGGAACTTCACTGAACAGATTCAGAAGATAGGAGAGCAACTTGACTACCCTGTTTAGGGTGGCTATGCCAGCAGCATGGGGATCCCTCAGCAGATTTATCCACATATTTTTCTGCCATTGACAAAACCGTCAGCACCTTTTATAAACTACTCACTCTAACAGTTTACAGAGTACCACTTTCTATTAATGCAAATCACGATAGGTAAATATTTATAAGTTGTGGGTGATAGTGTCTAGCTACAAAAATACATTTGCAACAATCTATCTACCACAAAACAAGCACAAACACAAGCTCTAACACTAAAGCATCTACTAATACCTATAGTGACCACGAAACAAGTTCTAGTTCTTAAAAGCAGCGATTAATGCAAATAACTTAAGTTTTCTCACCCAATAGAGCTGTCCCTGGACAGGAGGAGGGGGAAGGAAGCCAAGTGCAACTCATCAGCTGACCTTAGCAGTTCAGATGGAAATTCCTTCAAATGTCTCCCCATCTCCAATCTCTTTTTCTACTGTTTCTTCAGGTTTTAGGTGTGGTTTGAGTGACTTTAGTCATAATTGCTAAATTTGGGGCATTGTCCTTAGCATCTACTTTTCTTGTTGGATAAATGGGCACAGGTCAGAGAGTTCCCTTTCTGCAGCATATCTGGAAGAGGGGCTGTGAAGTCTTCAGATCACTCCATTCTTCAGTGTATCCAGGTATTTATCAGGTTTTTCTCAGATCTTTGTGATCTTATTTCCTCTGAGAAACTGTAGCTGGGTCTTTTTCTGTAATTCTTATTCTCTGTTAACTTTTAACCCTATCCCTTACGCCACACAGCCCCACTCCTGTGTCAGGCAAGGCCTCTCCAGGCTGGCACCTGCAAAATGAGGCTGCACAGGCAGGCAAGTAGGGCGAAAAGGACTGGAAGTGTGCCTGCTCAGAGAGGCCAAGGGTGCAGTGGAAGAAGGGAACACAGGTTCTAGGGGCTTACAGGTCTTAGGGCCAGCAGCTGGAAATGCACAGCCTTAGGCTGCTGACTGGTGGGATGTCTCTGTGTGTGTATGTGTGTACAGCACACCAGGGAACTGGAAACTGGACTCTGGGTGTCTGGGCAGGAACCTTCCAGCTCCTTGGTCTTCCTTTAACTTCATCAAAGGAAAGCTCAGAGAACTGGAACTTGGTCATCAAGAAGAGCAGCTCCTTGATTGTGTGTAACTGAAATGACAGTCTAGCCTTCAGGGTGTGCTGTACCTCAGGAAAAAGGGGTAAGCTCTTCAGCAGTCAAATGCTGCCAGTGTTTAATACTTCCACGTGTGTGTATTTACAGTGCACCAGGGAATAGAAAGCTGGACTCTCTCATCACTGCAAGTCTCCAAGGCCAGGTTGGATGGGGCTTTGTGGTACCTCCTCTAGAGGAGAATGTCCCTGTCCATGGTAGACGAGGTTGGAACGAGATGATCTTCTGACTGTGACCTCACGGCTTTTTCGTTGATCATATCACACATGGTGGGTGGCACGGGTATCCAGCCAGGATCCTCAGCTGGGATTGTCAGCATCTGGGATCTCTGCGATCCAGGCACAGGGCATATCTGCCCTATATACCTGCCCATCGTCGGTCCACAGTGGGTCCTCACAGCTGCCCACTGCTTCATCAGTGCCAAGCAAGAAGGATCAGGGTATAAGGATATCCCCACAGCACCAGCAGCTGCCCTGTCTCCAGTACCGCATGCAACTCCCATCCTGTTCCCTTGCAGCTTGCCCAGTGCCTGAGAGACTGCTCAGCAGAAGGCTGGGCTCATGCCACTGCTTCCTCACTTGCTGCTGCTGCCAGGCATCTCCTCCTGCCATGACTGGGAGAGAGGGTGGTTAGGCAGGCCAAGTGCCCCACACCAGGCAGCACCACCAAGGAACAAGAGATCTCGCCACAGGCTGATATCCCACCACAGAAAAAGAAGGCGCTGGTCAGCTGGGTGGCCAGACACCGAATGATTTAAATTGTATTACTTTAATATAAATTGTATTACATAGTATTAAACTGTATTAGTTTAAAATCTAATTTAATTGTGTAAATTTATGTTGTATCTGTTTAAATCTGAGTTACATTAAATTTTATATGTTATATTAATTTGAATTGTATTAAGCTGAATTAAGTTTTAACATGTCAGCAACAAAAAGAGGTCTGTATTTTCTGCTCTGAAGCTATTCTACATGCAAATTCTATAAAATCCTACTGGCTTGATTTTTGCTCAAGCACCCCTGAACTCAGGGATCACTCCAAACTCAGCTAGGAAGAATTTAACATCACATGGCCTTCTGTCCAGCTCTATGCCTTCACTCAGATATTGGCACCATCTACAGTGGAAAAGTGGTGTCTAACACCTTAAGTCTGCTACAAGTGCAAGACAGTAGTAGAAAAACACGAGAAAGAAAAAAAAAGAGTGCAGATGTTGCCCTGCCGTTAAGAATGCAAAGTCTTTTACTGTCCTCTGTGCCCTAAGAATGATTTTTGCCCCCATCAAACGGTAATTGGTTTTATGGAGCAACTGTAGAAAGCCAGGCAGTAAGGAGTTAATGCATTGCAATGCCTCAAACACCAATCATGCAACCCAGAAAAGGGAGTTTGTATGAAGGTAAGGCAGCACCTTTGTGGAGGCACATTTCCTGTTCTGGTGACCACACAACACTAAGGACAGCTCAAGTGCAGCATGCTCTGCCTGCGTAGCACTGGGCTGGGGACCACTCACCCAGCAGTGGGCAACCCCTCCCACCCAGGCTGAGGAACAGCACTCTTTGCACAGGCCAGACCTCAAAGCTGCCCTGCAGCAACTTGTCGACTCTGGAGGAGGGAGAGCTGAGCACCATTGCCTCCAGCATGATGTCCATGGTTCTCAGGGTCTGCAAGGAGGACACAGAGTGGTAGCAGTAATTCTGCCATCCCTTCCACCCGGGGGACTGATCTGACCTCCCAGTGCCAGAGCAGGATGCTCTTACTGCCTGGGAGAGAGCCACGGGCAGACAGCCTGCTGACTATATATAAATCTACCAATACCAATTTCAATTTAAAAAATTTAATTTATTGCAGATTGCTGCAACTGTACTGTCTATACGTAAATACACAAATATCAATATACCTATCTAAATATCCATATACCTACAACCATATACATCTATAAATACAACTATATACAGAGGTATCCCAGGTTGCCCATTTTCACAGGCTCTCCTTTGCTAGCTTCCTCCCACGCAGAGCAGCCCTTCTGGAAAGGTACAGTAGATGGACGTCTAGGAAGCAAAAGGAATACTGAGTCATTACTGGTCCTTCTGTGTGTACGTCTCCCTTGGCAGCACACCTAGCAATTCTCCTTCTCTCAGAGATTACAAAACACAGCCTGAGAGACACGCTCTCACTTGGGAATTTGAGACCTGCTGTTTAAAGAACATTTAGGAATTCTTCCAAGTTTTCCAAACTTTCAGGTTTTGAACTACCCCAATAAAAGCTGCAGCACTAGCACTGCAAATGGCACCCAGGAGAACTCAGAACAGAGACATTCACATCTCACAAGCAAAACTCCAGCCTTGTTCTTTCTCTGTACTGACAAAGAGACCTTGGTCCTCTCTTAAATGGGTGAAACCGACGGGCACTGTGAGCTGAGTTATTAACTAGCACTGTTATCGGGGATCTAGAAACTACCCTTTGATATAAGCAACAGCTCCTCCAACTCTACCATCAGCTTTTGGATTCACTATTCTACTCTCCCCTTTCTCTAAAAGTCAGGCTCAGGCTCAGAGTAGCTGTCTCAGTCATCTCTAAAAACATGCAGACTCCCTTTTTACCGGGGCCCTCTGGCTCGAGGGAATTGTTCCCACAGCTCACGTTGCCAGGTGAAGCTCTCTCTTCTACTGCGACACTCACAGGCTCACTTCCTGAAGGCTCACACTGACCCATAATACTCTCCTTAAAAGAAAAACAAATAGGAAAAAAGTTTTAAAAACGAAGATTGTTCAGTATTTTCTTGTAATCTCTTTAGGGACACAATAACTGTCTTCTCCACTCCTAAATGACATGTAACACAAGGTGAACACTGCTGAGGTGGTTTACATTACACAGAGATGGTCTACACTGCATGTGAGAACTACAGTTTTGTACATAGGAGGACCAGGCACAGGCAGAGCAAAGGACAATCACGGCTTGCAGGATATCACAAAGTATAGCAAATGGAATATGCTTTATACCAACCAAATATTAATAAATTGCATTTTCCACAGAAAACAGAAAGTTAGTAACTCAATCTAACCATTTCCCTGAATTTTCAACAAAAATCTTTGCCTTAAGTGGCAGTCCTCAAAATACTCTATGATTTAAGATCAAAGACAGTATATTGTAACCTAAAAAGCTTGCACTTCATCACCATGAATGCACCTGCACTATGTAATTTTCCCATGAAAATGAAAACTTGAAAGCCAAACTGAAACTTGGCCAACACAGGCTAATGCGTCCCATTCTCAAGAACGTGGGATACCTTTTCATTCCCTGTTCTTTCTTCAGTCTTGCTCTACAAAGCAAACACTTCACTGTCAATTAAAAGCTTAGTTCAAGAAGCCTTTTCTCTCAGTGCAGACCCCAGCGTTGCTATCAAATAGTTACCTCCAAAAAAGTAGCCACTTCTGGATTGCATGATAACATCTCCTCCAGCAGCTGACACGCAATATCAAGTCTGACTTCTCCCTGTGACAGAAAATGACAGAGGAAATCTACCTGCCTTCACTTCTTTAAGAACCACAGTGTTCCTGCTGTATATAAAAGTATCACAAACCGCAAGATTTTTAAGTGAGAGGAAAAGGTTCCTATACTGCAAAAGTACATATGGACAACATAACTGGAGGAACACAGTTCCCTGCCAATAACATCTTGTTTGTCTTCAAGTAGTTGTCCACATACACACCCTCCCAAGAGGTGATTCCCAAGAATACCTTTGCCACCACAGAGTAGGTCTGAATGCTACTAAAACATTTCATTGCCATTACAAGCTGACAGGACACAGTCAGTAATCCAAGGGTCCTCTTTTGTTAGTAGAATTCATATAAATCAAACAACATTCTAGTGGAAAGAAGACAAGAAGAGTTTTTCAAAACCAGCAAATCTTACCCTAGTGAAAAGATTAGTCCTATTTTAACAACTAGTGTCTGGACTGCTTTTTCTTCTGGAGATGCCTCAAAGTCGAAGGTCTCTGGAAGGGTAATTCCTTCTGACAAAGATGAGTCATATCATGGTGTTGAACAGAAATGGATGTATATGTAAAATACAATCTTACTTTGGAAGAGATTTAACATGAAGGATTAGTCCTTAGTGCCTCACTATCCTCAGACTTTCTAGCTGAGGTAATGATTCATAAAAAGCTTCTTCCACAGACTAATAAATTAGAGAATAGGAAGCCACAGAATCACCTACTATAAAGAAAGCCATAGCAGATAAAACACTGGTGAAAGACTTGGTCTCCCAGCAGTATGAACATCAGAAGTCCCCGAAGGGAATAGCACAAAGAGATGAGACCCTTTCTGCTGGGTATGAAGTCAAGTCCTAGTGTGAATTCATGGAGATGTGCCAGCCTGAAGATAGGCACAAACTCAGGACAACAGGGAAAAGGCAGGGAAAGGTAAAAGCTGGAGTTTGAGAAATTTAGGTTAAGCAAATCCTTTTTATTAAAGGTAAGCCACCTTTATAATTTTATGATTTATGTTTAAATACAGTTCCTTTCATTTTGCATTGTTTTCAGTTGGTTGCTTTTTGTTTGTTTTGTTTTTTGTTTTTTTAAATATGATGTTTAATAAGATGTTTCACTTTTGCTGCATTGCTTGCCTGTTGTCTTAAGTAGCCAGGATTTTAAGCAAGATTCAGGTCACCAAGTCAACGACGAGGGATGAGCTCATCCCTGATAGAAACAAATCAACCAACCAACCAACACTGCAACTTCTTCTGCCTCTTCTTAGGGGACCTCAGCCTGAAGATGCTATAACACAGATTATCTTCTTGGGTACATTACAGGACCTCATACACCAATAGGAAAAAGTGCCCCCACCAAGTTACAATTGACATCTTTTTAGTTTATCTAGAGAAGATGTGACAGACAAGGATTAGAGGGAGGCAGAAATGAAACCATGAACTGTGATAAAAGATTGCAGAGTCAGGTCTCAGAAGACTTAATAGTTTGCTGGTTCCTGGAGCTCATGATGAAAATAACCTCATTTAGCAAGACTGGTGAAAGAGAAGGTATTTCACTTACAGGACCAGCACAGTGTACACAGGAAGTTAAGTGTCACAAAGCTTTTCCGGGACTGCAAGGACTAAATGGAAAACTTTGGAATGATTTGCCATCTCAAACATTGATCTCAGCTGTTTGACAGACAGGTCCTTTTATTGTGACTTCCCATCACTCAGACTGATCCTCAAATCCTGGATGGAAAAGCAGCTTATAATGAAAGTGAGAGGACAAAGATGCACCGTGTGAAAAAGAAATACTAGAGTATCAGTGGCCTTACTGGCCACAGGGTATTTCTATCCTTACGTGTTATTGTGCCATAACCCAGTCCTCTTGGATATACTTGTATCTAAAAAAAAAATCATGAATATAAGACGAAGGTTGATATTTACATGACAGGAAACTGTATGATGGAGCTTGGATAAGGGATCAAACCTTTTTTAACACAAATAAGTATAAACTGCATTGCTTGTCCTCTGTGAGAAAAAAAACCACAAAGGATATACATTATGCTGTAGTAGAAAAGGAAGCCTACATCCAATCCTTTGCCATTTGATAAGCCAGGCCCTCCAAATAAGGTGTAGTTTCCACTGGAATTATATAAATAATTTATAGTAAGTACTGTAGTTCTCTTGAACAAGACATCTCTGAGACTGAGCCAATTCCAAAGGTCACCATAGTTTTTCTCAATCCACAATTGAAACTCAGGGTGGTAGAAAGCTGTCTGGAAAAATAAAGTGCACCTGTGTCCCAGTCTTTTCAGAATATCAAAGACTCTTTTTGTCCAGGTAAAGAAATTCTTCAAGGATAAACACAGACTAGTTAACTAGACAAATTCTGGTGGAGTCAAGCAAAAAACTTCTGAAGAAAAAAACCACTCCACTGATGAGGACACGCACTATGCTGATGCCCTGAAACCTCACCTGAATGACAAAACTACTCTTCTCCTCTTCAGTGCTTCTTTTAATAGATATTTGTCAACCACAATACTTTCACCATCTCAAGGGGATCCACATTTGAGTTTAGCTCCTTTATTACAGAAGGCTATAAGCCTACACTTCATTCATACAGTCTCTTCCACTTTCCTGGAATGTCAGAATGCTCCACTCACCTGGAAATCACTGCTGCTGGTGTTGGTCAAAGCTGCAGAACAAGCACTGCCAGTCACAGGATTGGGGACTGAACAATTCTGCAGTGTGGCTGCAAGAATTCAACACAGTCATCAGGCTTACAGAACCTGTTTTTGTTACGCAGAGCTCCATTGCTTCCTTTGATTAAACATTTCATGAATCACACAGAGGACTAAATTCCAGAAATGTATTCTTACCTCCCAAGTGATCTGACGACTGATTTCTTCATCTTAAAAAACATGTATTCTACTTGATGTGTGCAGATACTAAAAATATGGATTGTAAATTTCATATACACACACATAGAAACTTCATAATCGCAGTTTTTTGTGTCTTCCCAACGATTTTCAAAAACAAGTAACTTGTCTATTTAGCTCTCACCTACCCATTCAGTCCTCTTGAAAACATGTCTAGCTTGCAATTCCTTTGCAGGAGACAGCTGACAGAAAGCTTATTTCCAGGTCTTTTCCTCTTTGCACAAAACTGACAGGATGCTACAGCTGACCCTGCACATGACCATCTCACACAGACGCAGTGAGAGCTTACTACAACTTGTTACTCAATTAAGCATCCCTACAGCTGGGCAAGGAGCAGTACATCTCATTCGGCAGGGCTGGGCCAGCTCCACAGGGAGCAGGACGGGATGTTCTCAGTGCACTGTACAGCAGAGACTATCTTGTAGCCTACAGTCAGACTGGGGCACACATGAACCACGTTCCCTGTGCTTACAGGCAGCAGATATGCCTTCCTGAAGAACACCCTGTCCTATACTGGGTGAACTGAACTGAGCAGCCACCAGCAAGGAGAGGTAACCTTTCTCCATCAGGGGAGTGCCAATTTTCAAATGCCATGCCACCCTCAAACCCATCCTAGCCCCACACGGACCACTGCATCTCACCGGTCCTGTTGGCCTTGCCAAGGGTCGAGGGTGACTGCAGCAGGTCCCCATTCGGTGCTGTGCCCAACTGCTGCTGGAAGTGGCTGGGCAAGTGGCTGGGCACCTCCACGCCAGCTGCCAGCTTCTCCATGTGGGCCCTCATCAGACTCTTGAGGTTTACAAGGAGTTCGTGGTGGTCACGGTAACGGTCAGGGCATGGCCCAGCAGAGCTGCAGCCATCAGCACCTGCCAGGGCTGGCCCAGGTCTGGACCTCACTAGCTTCCTCCCACGCAGAGCAGCCCTTCTGGAAAGGTACAGCAGATGGACGTCTAGGAAGCAAAAGGAATACTGAGTCATTACTGGTCCTTCTGTGTGTACGTCTCCCTTGGCAGCACACCTAGCAATTCTCCTTCTCTCAGAGATTATAAAACACAGCCTGAGAGACAGGCTCTCACTTGGGAATTTGAGACCTGCTGTTTAAAGAACATTTAGGAATTCTTCCAAGTTTTCCAAACTTTCAGGTTTTGAACTACCCCAATAAAAGCTGCAGCACTAGCACTGCAAATGGTACCCAGGAGAACTCAGAACAGAGACATTCACATCTCACAAGCAAAACTCCAGCCTTGTTCTTTCTCTGTACTGACAAAGAGACCTTGGTCCTCTCTTAAATGGGTGAAACTGACGGGCATTGTGAGCTGAGTTATTAACTAGCACTGTTATTGGGGATCTAGAAACTACCCTTTGATATAAGCAACAGCTCCTCCAACTCTACCATCAGTTTTTGGATTGACTATTCCACTCTCCCCTTTCTCTAAAAGTCAGGCTCAGGCTCAGAGTAGCTGTCTCAGTCATCTCTAAAAACATGCAGACTCCCTTTTTACCGGGGCCCTCTGGCTCGAGGGAATTGTTCCCACAGCTCATGTTGCCAGGTGAAGCTCTCTCTTCTACTGCGACACTCACAGGCTCACTTCCTGAAGGCTCACACTGACCCATAATACTCTCCTTAAAAGAAAAACAAATAGGAAAAAAGTTATAAAAACGAAGATCATTCAGTATTTTCTTGTAATCTCTTTAGGGACACAATAATAACTGTTCTTCTCCACTCCAAAATGACATGTAACACGATGTGAACACTGCTGTGGTAGTTTACGTGGTGTTTTAAATCAGAAGTTTGCCAAATCAAAACTCAAGCTCTCATAAAGTGTCCTCTTAATCAAAACATGAAATCAGAAAACTAGAATACACCAAGCGAGAGTACATCTTCTCACACTCTGCACTGTGGCCTCACTTACTACACACTTGCTATAGGAAACAAGCCAGAAGAAATCTAGGTGCCCTCTTGGTAACCAACACATGTATTGTTAAAAAGACATCTTGTTCAAACCATTGCAAAGGGCTGTGTGGTGCAAAACTGTACACCTGAGCCACACATATCTGGCTGGGAATCTCAACCTACCCCATTCATTTGCTAAGTCATTCAATTCTAATGTGTTGCTTGCTTTTTGGAGCCCTCTGCTACCACTCCGTATGTATTTTGCAGGCAACCATTTACTGGATGGGTGTGTTTCCATGATCATGACACAGATCTATAGGGTTAAAAAAATCCCAGAAAGTCAGACAACTTAGTTAGGTTTTTACTCCACTGAGGAAGTAAAGACACAAAGTTAAGTACCTAGAATTTACCTTTAGCCATAAAGATATTCTCACTATTACCTGTTCAAGAACATTCATCTCTTCTGTGAACAGCCTATCCAACAGTATCTTAAAGATGGGTGATTGAGCAGAGCCTGCAATGTTTCATTCTATTAAGGAATAGAAAGCTTTGAAAACTGGTAGGTGTGAGTTTACAGAAGATGAAAGGGCATCAAACTTGGTAATAAGACATGGGCAGTTTCAAAAAATCACACTCCTCACCTTAAATCTGACCTTACTCAACGTTAGATATTTCAAAAGGCAATGCCTGTGCATATTAATAGAAATACAGAGACATTCTTTGGCAAAGCTGTATTGTAACACACAAAAAGATATGTGCCAGTACAGAAACAGAACTCTCCAGGAAAGTCTGGGAAGGCACAAGAGTAAGACAAAGGAAATTTCTAATGAAAAGAGGGAATATTTCAAGCAAAAGGCCTAATAGTCCCTGAATTGCTCTTAAACACAGAAAAAGCCCCAAGTCTTTACCCACTTCACATCCAGAACCAACATCGTCCTTCTCACGAAATATGCAAGTCATGAGGCTGCACACCTCCTACCCAACAACTCCATGGCTCACACACTTAATCCCTCTGCTCCTAACAAGGAAATCTGGACCCCAATTGCCAAAAGCCTTCAACAGTGGAAAAGATATACCTCTCAAAGTGCAGTTCAAAAACTGTCAAAACTGCCAAAAGTTCAAAGTGCAAGCAAGACAATACACTGACTAGGCATTAAGGAAGGAGTCCTGCCACCTCCATAGGCACTGGCAAAAGGAGGTGCTCCGTCCCTCCGCAGCACTGAGCAGAAGAGTCTAGTCCAGGCTGGAGCTCTGCAGGGGTTTGGCTGGAATATACAGCTCTTTCTGGAGTGACAGCCAAGAGGAAGATGACTACTCTTTGCAAGGTGGAGACCAATACCAGGAAGTCTGCACCATCTAGATCTCCCGGCTAGGAACTTTATTGAAGGCAACAAGACACTGAGAGGACAATCAAACTGTAGCTTCAGCACATACGCCAACATGGTATTTTGAGCACCTACAGGCAAGGCAGACCTTGTGCAGCAGCAACAGATGCTGAGAACCTCTTGCTTTTCTTTCGTGTTCAAAGCCAAAAGAAGGAGAGCTCGCATTCGGTGCCACAAGGGAGTGACCTCTCCCATGCCCCTCACTGCACTTGGGACTTACAGTTTTGTAAACAGGGAGGACCGGGCACAGGTAGAGCAAAGGACAATCACAACCTGCAGGATACCACAAACAACTGACGATGCTAACTGAAGAACCAAGTGTTCATAAATTGCATTTTCCACGGAAAACAGGAAGTTAATAACTCAAGCTAACCATTTCCCTGAACTTCCGACAAAAATCCTTTCTCTGAATTTTCAAACAAAATCCTTGGCAAAAATACACCGTGATTTAAGGCCAAAGACAGTATGTTATTACCTAAAAAGCTGGCACTTCATCACTATAAATGCACCTGCACTACGTAAGAATGTGCAGCCAAACTTGGCCAACAGAGTTTAACACGCCTCATGTTCATTAACGCGGGATACTTCTGATTCCCTCTTCTTTTTAAAATAATGATTTAACAAGCAAACCCCTAATTAAAGACGCCTTTTCTTCTCAGGCGTGTGACAACACCGAAAGCCCCTCCGCGCACACCCCCAGCACCGCTGCGCCGAAGTCACCTCCAAAAACGCAGCCAGTTCAGGGTGGGACGAGGAAAGCATCTCCTCGAGAGCCTGAAACGCAGCCTCGAGGTCAGCTGGGTCGGGGCTGGCGGCGGCGGGCGGCGGAGGCGGCGGAGGCTCCTCCATCGCCCGCCGTCGGCGACAGTCACGACACACGGGGGCGCGCGCGGCCGCGCAACGCCACAGCGCCAACGGCCGAGGCGCGCGGGCAGCGCCGGCCCCGCCCCCCGGCGCGAGGCCAGAGGGGGGCGCTGCGCTCCGCCCGCCGTCCCTCAGCGCCCACTGCCCTTCCATCAGTGCACTCTGCCGCCTTCCATCAGCGCACTCTGCCGCCGTCCCTCAGCGCCCACTGCCCTTCCATCAGTGCACTCTGCCGCCTTCCATCAGTGCACTCTGCCGCCTTCCATCAGTGCACTCTGCCGCCTTCCATCAGCGTCCACTGCCGCCTTCCGTCAGTGCACTCTGCCACCTTCCGTCAGTGCACTCTGCCGCCTTCCGTCAGTGCACTCTGCCACCTTCCGTCAGTGCACTCTGCCACCTTCCGTCAGTGCACTCTGCCGCCTTCCATCAGTGCACTCTGCCGCCTTCCATCAGTGCACTCTGCCACCTTCCGTCAGTGCACTCTGCCGCCTTCCATCAGTGCACTCTGCCACCGTCCCTCAGCGCCCACTGCCGCCTTCTATCAGTGCACTCTGCCGCCTTCATCAGTGCACTCCGCCGCCGTCCCTCAGCGCCCACTGACACCGTCCCTCAGTGCCCACCGCCGCCTTCCCTCAGTGCACTCTGCCGCCGTCCCTCAGCCCCCACTGCCGCCTTCCCTCAGCACCCACTGCCACCGTCCTTCAGCACCCATTGCCGTCTTCCCCCAGCCCCCGCTGCCACCGTCCCTTAGCGCGCTCTGCTCGCCGTCCCTCAGCCCCCGGTGCTGCCATCCCGCAAACCCATGCGGTCTCCGTGACTTTACTTTGACCCATGGGTTTTCTAGTCCCGTTTTCTCCCTGAGGCTGTCTGTAAACTGGGAATATTGTCACCGGGAATATCTCATGTCAGACGGTGTTGCCAAGGCAAAGGTTATGAAGCAGCAGCCTGCCACGATGCTAAATCAGGATATGGCATGGCCTGTAATGCACACTGGTGGGCAGCATATCATCACACAGTAACACAGTCTGGGTTATCCCTCTCCTCCCCTTCCCTTCCCTTTTCTTTCCTTAGAATTCAGGAATAATTCAGGCTAGAAGGCAAATCAGAAGATCTGCCTCCTGCTCCAAGCAGAGACGTTCATCTGGACAGACCACATTGCCTGGGACTTTAGGTAGTTGAGGTTTGAAATCCTCCAAGACAGCACAACCTCTCTGGGCCCTCACTCCACCGCCGTGTCCTTGTAGGGAAAAAACTTTGCCTTACTTCCAACCCAAACCTCTCTAGTTTCAGCTGATGGTGCCAGCATCACCTCCTGCCAGGCAGCTCCATGAAGAGCCTGGCCTCTGCCTCTTGATCCCATCCCTATAGCCTCGAGGTGCTTTCAGACATCCTACAGCTATCTTGACTCCAGACTGAACCAGGCCTGGACCCCCAGCCTCACCTTGCAGGGTGAGTGCTCTAGCCCCACTGTCTTGGTGGCCTCCTCTGAACTTGTTCCGTTTTCCCAATGTCTCTGCTGACTTGTGGGTCAGGACCTAGGTGCAGGTCCGTGGATAGAGGACCCATTTGTGGTCTGACAAGTGCTGAACTGGAAGGGATAATCTCTGCTCTCATTCTGGCCCTTCATCCTTGCTGAATTTGATGGGATTTTTTTTTAACTTCTCGTCTGTTCTTGTCCCTGTGGATGGCAGCCTGCTCTTGCACATATTGACTGGCCCCTCCTCCTCTTCCCCAGTTTAGCAAACCTCACGTCGCTCTCCTTCACTTTGCCCACTAGTTAAACAGAAGACCAGGACAGACTCCTATTATACCCCACTTTTAGCCGGACATTTCCTTCATTCTTTTGCTGTCAGGATATCATGCTTGGCATAAGCATTTGTCCTGTACCTCTGAAAGTAAGGTGTTTTCCCTCCCTGAAGACGGGAAGGTTTAAATAAAAAACCATAAGGTTTAAATAATTGGATTTGCATTTGGGTTTTCAGTTTATCGTTGGACTTAATCTTAAGGGTCTTTTCCAACCAAAACGATTCTATGATTCTATATTGTCATATCCTGGGGTGAGGAATATCAAGTGCTTCATTCAGTCTGATTCAAGTAGATCTTGCCTTTGTGCCATGCTTCTGTTGCATGTAAAATTGCATGTGATGCAGAAAATTTGGAGTAATTTACCAATTAACAACAAGTAAAGTAATATTTCATTAACCATAGCTAGAACAGCATCAGAGAACCAAGGTACATTTATTTATTTGGAATTTTTATTCTGTAATATTCTGTATCACTTTTATATAGGAGATAAGGATAGTACCAGCAAGTAAAACTGGTAATAGAGAAAAATGTCTCTTTTCGCTTCTTATTACGGATGAACTATTTGTCAGGAGGAACATCCTACAGACATTCTTCAGTGCTTGATGCTGGATTACAGTTTGCTCCTAGGGAATAAGGAAAACTAATCCAGAGATCCTAGACAGAGCTGGGTCAGACCTTTTTGTTGGTATGGCTTACAGATATTTTCTCCCCAACATTTTTTACTTGCTTTCCCTTTCCTGAGCTACTAAAAAAATAACAAGATGTGATTTAAATTAGGTCTTCCAGCAGTTTCTGACAAAATACATATATACTGAGGATATGAGAGCCCAGAGGGTGGATTATGTATTTCCTGCTAGTCTGGTGGGGCAAATGGTGAGTGGTATCTCAATCTATTTGTGTTAACCACTTCCAACATGTTGGTTGCCAGCAAGTCCATTTGTGTTAAGGAACAGATACGACAAAGCTCAAAGGGGAACTGCAATGTTTTGTTAGCATGACCAGTGACTCTGCTTTATTTTATCAGAGACTCTGGTTATTTACAGTCATCAGAGGCCAGGTGCAAAATTTATATCCTTCTATTTTGGTTATTGCAGTGCAAGCAACTGTGAAAGTGGCAAGATGGCTAAAAAAGGTCTGTCTTCGTTAAAACAATCGGCACCTAATTCACATGACCAGTTGCAATTATCTTCATCTTGGACAATATCCCTGTGCATGTGGGGGTGTGTGCACAGAAACTCCAAGAAAACAGTAACTTGGAGCAAGGAATTTGTTCCCATTCCTTGTACATTCCTACAGAGCCATGAAATCCAAAGCACATTTGAGCCTTTTCTGATTCCAACAATCCATTTTATATGCTGTCGTTGCTTCGATGCACCCTCTTTGTCACATGCTACTGATTTTGCTGCTACCATTGCTGCTCTCTCAAGTGACTGATCTTGCTTCACAGGCTGGGACGTTGAAAATCAATTTCATCACCTCTAACAGGGAATTAATTTGTCATGACTTCAGTAAGCACTCTTAGCTGTATATGGCATTAATTCCCTTCACCAGATCAAAGGTGAGGGGCCTTAAAATGGTCTTATGAAGGACAAAGAGAAAGTGATGAGGAATATTTTCTTTGTGACACCCTGCAGCTGTCTCTTTCCCATTTAAGTTTGCCTGTATGCATGGACAACTCTTCTGGTGCCTGTTAAAGCACATGAATATGCTGTTGATGCACTAGGCTTTTACCTGCTCATTTTGTGCCTCATTTAAAATTGCACACATAATGTCACATTTTAACTTAAATGGTAAGTGGAAGTATTTTACTTCTAATTTATTTTTCAGTGGAATAAAAATGTTACTGATCAACCAATACAGTTTTGGGAGCATAAAATGATTTGCAAAAGGAATCTTAGGTCCACTAAAGCAAATCTATTGGAAAAGTATCGGACTGAGTAAACAGAATTAAATCAGAAATAATTTTGAGTCGTGTGTTGGGTCAGTCATTAATGACAGTTTCCCCATGAAGAGTTCAGTTGACTCCATTGCCTTCAGTGGTGTCAGATTAATGAATTTTGAGGAGGGTATGAATAAGAACCAGTGACTTGGGAAAACAAAGTGGATAAAGTATTTAAATAATGCATCCCTCTACCATCTGTAAAATTTTCCTGTTGTGCGTCTACATATTAACACAAATGTTCATTTGCCCCAAGTCTATTCACTGCTTTATTACTTTCCTGAAATACTGCTTATTTTCCTTCATGATAACATGGAACTGAGATGTTACTGTATGATTTTTATTTTTTTTTCCTTTTAGATGTAGCCATTGGATCTCTGCCTTGATTATATATACAAATAGCATATATATATTTACTATCTGCCTACCTACTTACCTACCTATCTACCCAACTATCCATGTTTTGAGAAGAGCTTTTGTAGTAATCATTCCCCTTTACACTAATTGTCAGATATAAAAGCAAGAATGCATTTACTGAGAAACACCTTCCTAGCACTAATTTTTACTGCCCACCTGGCCCAGTTGAATCATGAGCTGAAACAATTCCCGCAGGCTAAAGAGGGAGAAGATTGAAGCACAGCAAGAGACTTGTTTTGTTGGGGTGTTCAGTTTATCAGGAAAGGCAACTTTTATATTTGTTATTGTTTGTCTAATTCTGTACTTCTAAAGAAAGTAGGAGGGAAAGGAAGCAGAAGAAATACAGCCAAAGTCCCATCATTCTAATGTGGAAATGAGTGTAGAAGGGTTTGGCCAAAGGCCTCTGAAGGGAGCCAGGCTGTGGGTCTGACTCTTTTGAATATCAGCTGAACATCTGTTCCTTCAGGTCATTATTTTTCTGGTGTTTGACCTGGTCTCCCCTCTCAAAAAGACTCTATTGCTCCCACACTGTACATCTTTTAACTACTTTTCCCGGGAGTCCTAGATTTGGTCAAGAATCTTTCTGATTATTTCCATAGTGGATCTTAAGGATCTTGGTGAAAACTCAGCCCTTTGGCAGATGATTCAGGAACTGAAGGCATTTTCTGCTGGAATCCTGGTGACTCCTCTTCTAGTTTTATGACTCTTCAGCCTGAGTCCTCAGCCCTCCAGACCTGCTAAGCTTTGTGGAGTATTTTATTGATC